GCCTCCAAAAAGTAGTCCCAAGAGGCCCTCCAGGGCTTCCAAGGGACCCCCAAAAAGGCTCCAAGAGGGCCCCAAGACCCCCAAAACGAGCCCCAATGCGAATCCCAAGATCTCCCCAAAAAGCTCCAAGAGGGCTCCAAGGTGATTTTTGAGGCTCTGTCCTCGTTCTCGTTGTCCTCCTCCTGCTCCTCCTTCTCCTCCTCCTCGTACTCGTCCTCGCCCTTGCTCTCATCGCCTTCCTTTGCCTTGCCCTCCTCCTCCTCCTCCTCCTCCTCCTCCTCCTCCTCCTCCTGCCCCAGGCGGGGGCCTGGCACCTGTTTCCATGGTGCCAGCGCCACACTTGCCTCGGGGCACACTGTCATGAGCAGTTGGTACAATGGGCCTGGCGTAGGAAGGCGGTCGTCTTCGTTGGCGGACAGGGATGAGTACGGCTCCCCTGCATCCGCGCAATGGGTCTGAACCTTGGCCCATCTGCAGCGGCGTCAGCTGCAAAGGCGGAGTCTGGATCGCGTATTCCCGCGGAGTGGCGGGGCCATGTGGTCCGTGAGTCCCATGGGGCCTTCGGGTCTACTCCCTGGCGGCGTTCTCTCAGGTGGTGCCAGTGGCCCTGGGCAGACCCCGCTTACGCGTGCCCGTCGGCTGGCACCCATGCTGGCCCTGCTGCTCTTATTTGAGCAAACGGCTTAAAACCGTTGGCAGGTGAACTTGGCCAGTGCAGCCCCCCGTCGGCCAAAGCCGTTGGCAAGGATCGGCAGGCGACGGGTGAACAATGGGCTTGCAGGGTCCCGTCGGCGGGGCAGCGAGTCGCTAGGCGGCATGCCCCTACCCCGTGCCAGCGTCCATTCGCCCTAGGGGCGAAGCGGGGCTTGTCGCTGTGTTCGGCGGCATGACTACCGTAGATCTCCATGCTCCATGCTCCTCCTCCTCCTCCTCCTCCTCCTCCTCCTCCTCCTCTCGCTATCCTTAGCAGGCAGGGTTTCTCCGACTGAAAACCTGCACACCAGAGGATTTATCAATCGTATTTTTCCTGCGTGTGCTCGTTGCCGACGTTCATTTTCCGACATGCTCAGCACACGGTCTGCCCTCTAGGGGACCGCTCCGGTTACCGGAACTGGCAAGCAGACCTCCACTTCCTCCTCCTCCTCCTCCTTCTCCTCCTCCTCCCTCCCTCGCCCCAACGCGGGCCCCAGGGATGGCCCGAAAAGGCCCTGCCCGGCCCCCCCTTGCTCCCAGAAATCTCACTGTTCACCCTGGTTGCTCGCTTTGTTTCACTACATCGTCCCCTGCCCCATCAACACTGGGCAGGATTCTTGAATGGGCTGCTGGTGATATGCAAAAAAAAGAGAGAGAGAGAGAGAGAGAAGAGTTTAAACGGCGCGGCGTAGCAAGCGGGCGAACACGTGAAGATATAGGCATGTTACATGTCTCTGCATGCATATATCGTCTCATGAATACAAAGGGGGTCCGAGGGCCCAACTATACCTGTCTAACAATATGCGTTTAAAAAACATATACGTATCGATGTATATACATAGGTATGTAAACATACATATATATATATATGTATCGGAGGTGAGGGGGTGAGATCGAAGTGGAACGGAGAGCCCCCCTACCGGGAAATCGGTTTCGGTTTCGTGTTCGTGCGTGCCGTGCGTGCGGGCGGGGCGAAGCTGCGTGGGCGGACGAGAAGAAAGTCTCCTCCAGCTGAGGCGCAGCCAGACCAAATGATTCCTCTCGGGGGGCCGGTGCCGTGCGGTGTCCCGCCGGCGTCCCGCCTCCGGCTGAGGCGCGGCCGGACCAAATGATTCCTTTCCGGGGGCCGCGCGGTGTCCCGCCGGTGTCCCGCCAGTGTCCCGTCGGTGTCCGGATGATGATGATGATGATGATGATGATGATGATGATGATGATGATGATGATGATGATGATGATGATGATGTCGATAATGTCGATGATGATGATGATGATGATGATGATGATGATGGTGATGGTGGTGATGATGATGGTGTCTCGATGATGATGCTGACGATGTGGATGATGATGATGATGATTGTGGTGATGTTGGTGATGATGATGGTGTCCTGATGATGACGATGATGATTATGTTGATGATGATAATGTTGCTGAGGATGATGATGGTGTCCTTGTGATGATGATGATCCTGATGATGCTGGTGATGATGAGATGGTGATGAGATGATGATGATGAAGATGATGATGGTGTCCCGATGATGGTGATGATGATATTGATGATGATGCTGTTGATGATGATGATGGTTATGATGATGGTGTCCCGATGGTGATGATAATTTTGATGCTGATGATGATGACAATGATGGTGCCCCGATGATGATGAGGATGATGAGGTGATGATGATGGTTTTGATGATGGTGGCCCGATGATGGTGAAGATGCTGATGCTGATGTTGATGATGATGATGAAGATGATGATGGTGTCCCGATGATGATGACGGTGGTGGTGATGATGAGGGTGACGATGCTGGTGGTGTCGAGATGGTGATGATGATGTTGATGATGATGATGAAGTTGCTGATGATGATGGTTATGTCCAGATGATGATGTTGTTGATGATGTTGTTCGTGATGATGATGAGATGATGGTGATGATGGTGGTGTACCGATGATGATGATGATGATGATGGTGTCCCGATGAAAATGTTGATGATGATGGTGACGATGATGGTGTTCCGATGATGATGATGATGATGATGATGATGATGATGATGCTGATGTTGTTGATGCAGGTGCTGAGGTAATGATGATGAAGGTATCCCGATGATAATGATGATGATGATGATGATGATGATGGTGATGATGATGACGTTGATGACGATGATGTTGATGATGCTGATGACGTTGATTGCGAGACCGATTGTGATATCGATAGTGAGATCGATAGTGAGCCCAGATGTAAGATCGACTGTGAGATCGATAGTGAGATCGGTCGTGAGATCGATTGTGATATCGATAGTCAGATCGATGGTGAGATCGATCGAATGAAATAGATCGAGCGAGATCGATTGTGAGATCGATCGAGTGAGGTCGATCGAGCGAGACCGATAGTGAGATCGATAGTGAGATCGATCGTGAGACCGATAGTGAGATCGATGGTGAGATCGATCGTGAGACCGATCGAGTGAGACGTTGGTTCCTCCCCTCCCCGAACCTCCTTATCACCCGAAGGGTGGTCGTATAGGTAGATATACGCTCCCACCGCATCCCGAGGTCCACGAGGATCAGTCTCCCAGGCGGAGGATATGGACAAATACCCACCTCGGAGCCAATCTCTCCTCCCACCACCAGACGGAGAATTTCTTCCAGACAAGTGCCGTCCACTCGTGAGCATGTGCAAAAGGTGCTCAGTACGGCACACGTCACGCTGGTGGCCGCCACATCTCGCTGCGTGAGTCTGTAGGTTGACTCACGTGCCGTTCCAGACTTGCCCGACGACCTCTTGACTCGCACTGCGGTATTTGCCGCGGTGCGTCGTTATCCTGTGGTCGCGCTATCCCCTCCTCCTCGTCCTCCTCCTCCTCCTCTTCCTTCTCTTCCCTCACCTTGTAAGCGGCGCGCACAGAGGGGTGGCGCGAAGGGGGGTCGTTCTAAGAAGGCGTGTGGCTTTGTAGAAGGCAGAAGGGCGGGTCGTCCCATGGCGCCCAACTGGCGCGCATATTCGCGCGCACAACTGACATAATGCATACCCGGCAATCGGAAGAAGTATATGGAAGCATGAAGTCGGAAGGCAGACAAAGTAGGCTGGGTTCGGGCCCGCCCGAATGATAACAAACAACAGCAGCTCAAAGATACCGAGTCTTGAAGAAGGAAGGCGAATGAAGTAGATTGGGATCGGGGATTCCAGAAAGACCTACATTCGATGACCGGCGTGTATCCCTGACGTGGGGCTATTGGGCACTATTAGTCGCTGCGTGAACACAACTGAGCGCTTTGGGGAGATGTTCACCGATGCAAGTGTGCAGAAGCATACATCGATACACACATATATATTATATATACATATATGTAAGTTAAAAGACTGTAGATAATGCAAAACGGTTAGTACTGTTAATGATATAGTGAAGTATGTGTTGTGTATGGGTTTACAACAATTGAGTAACGTACATGTGAACATATGGCAACGTGTTGTGTTATATATAGTAGTTGCAACATTAAATAAGCGGAAAGGTCAGTGATACTCTAACTAAGAAGATGCGTCAACGAAATCGTAGTATCTACTCACACCCTAGTCGCGTCCGCACGAGTCCCTACGAAAGTTTGAACACGTTGCGGGATGCGCACCCCTTGAATCACGAACGTCTAATGGACCTCAACCCTCCATCCTTTTGGCTACAAGAAACTCAAGAGCTCAAGAAGGTGTCCAACCATAGCCCTGATTTGAAGAGGAGTTTACCATCAATCCACGGAAGCGGTGCGTAATTTCAGAGATCTGGTCGTAAGTTTCGTGCACGTCTCAAGTGAGAGCACAATTTTGGAAAGGACCGCACCCGTCCGTTTAAGCGGTGCGATGTTCCTTTGCATTGTGTTCGAGGTGGTCCCGGTTGAAGACCCCATTTTGAAAAGCCTCGTCCATCCAGTAACTGTTGCACTGTTTGAAGGTTCGGGTCATCGCTAGTTTCTGTTAGACAATTGCCACAGCTGTGAGCGGTGCTGCGGCGACCTCGTGACTGCTGGAAGCGTCCAAAAAGAACGTGCGCGGCGCTAAAACGAGAGCCGCATCTTGAAACCCGACGGCCCTCCATCCTTTCACCTGTGTCAGATTTCCAAGCTTCAGCAGAACCCGAAGAGCTCTCGAGCGGAACTCCTGGACTGGCCTGCGAGCGCAGCTGGTGGTGCGGCAGGGGGTGGGACTGCACGTTACTCCAAGAGGCGGGATGGAGGCGGACAGGGGGAGGAAGAGGAGGCAGAGGAGGGCGACGGCGTCGCCGAAGCCCACGCCGACGACGAGGGCCGCGGGCGAGGTGGAGGTCCTGAGCTTTGCCCTTGCCCTTGCCCTTGCCCTTGCCCTTGCCCTTCCTCCTCGCGAGGCGGCCGCGAGAGCGCGACGGCGCGGCGTGTCCCGCCGCGGCCGAAGGCGCGGGGCGGGCGCCGCGTGCGGCGAGGCGGCGGCGCGAGGCAGCAGGAGAGGGGGGAGGGGGGAGGGCAGAAGTGCGGGCGCACTGGCGAGGCGAGGCAGGACAAGCACGCGCATCAGAGGAGGAGGAGGCGGAGGAGGAGGAGGAGGAGGATCGAGCGGATCGAGCGGGTCGAATCGGTCCGCGATGACCCGCGGCATCGCGCCGAGGACCGCCCGGCCGCATCGGGCCGTCCCCGCGCCGTGCCAGGCAACCTGGAAGCAGATGTCCGTCGCCCCCAAAACTTCTCGCACGAGCTGATCTTTGCTTTGTAGCTGAAAGTGGTCCACCGGAGCCCAGCGGCAACAGATCCTGCTGCCACTGCCGATTTCGAGCTCCAGCTTCGCCCCCCGCTTCTCACAAGAGGCTTGCCTCTGAACTCCCGATGAATTGCAACCCTGCCTTGCACTGCTGCTCCCCGGCCCGGCCATTCCACGCACGAGCCGATCCCAGCATTGTAGTTGGAGGAAAAGGAGGAGGAGGAGGAGGAGGAGGAGGAGGAGGAGGAGGAGGAGGACCAGCAGCAGGAGCAGGAGGGTGACCACGAGGTGGAGCCCCTCGCGGCCTGGCGTCCTGCACCCCGCCCCCCAGGCTCACCAGCACCCTGAGGCGGCAGGAGGTCTTCAACCGCTCGACGGAGCTGGGGAGCTGGGGCTGAACGCGAGACGCCAGCGAAGCTCGTCCCCAATCGGGCTACCGTCGGGAACTCTCTCTTGGCGTGTCGCGGCGGCGGCCCGCTATTTCTCACGAGTGGATGGCGTGTCGCTCCGTTCTGCGGGACGGGAGGCAGAGGAATGCTCGGGACGTGAACGCCTGGGGACTGGGCTGTGCATATCGTGTCGCTCCGAAGCGTGGTTGGCCAGAACCGGCAGCGCGACACGAGAAGCCAGGCATGGTGGTGTGCAAATCCCTTCTGCGGGCAGAGAAACGGCAGATATACGGCCGATACGAGGCAGGAGAAGGACGTGGAGGAAATGATGGTGATGGTGCTGATGTGGAGGCCATGGGAAGGGGGGGGGAAGGCGAAGGAGGGGGAGAAGGATCGAGCACGATCATGGACACCAGTAGGACGCTACAGGTCGCAGTTCCAGATCACACGATGTAGCATAGCATAGCCATGAAATCGCCGACTCCTCCTAGACGCGGCGAGTCCCCCAAAGGTCCGCCCGACACTCTAAATCCCGTCTGACATGCGATGAGCCTACGGCGGATTCCACGGACTCATGGATGGAGAAGCGGAGGGGCGACGAGGGACATTGAAGAGGAGGATCTATATATATATATATATATATATATAAAGAGAGAGAGAGAGAGAGAGATGCGGCGGTGAGGAGGTGTCACGCGCGAGGGAAAAAAGCGCAACGGACGTGGCTTTGTGCTGCTCCGTAGCCGCTCGCACCTCTGCGAGACGAGGAAAGCTGACAAGGGTTGTGGATGCCATGACAATGGACACTCTAACAATCCTATCATGGAATCAATGTGTAAGACATGTTCTAAACATGTTCAAAACATGTTTTTACATATGTTAAACATGTTTGAAACATGCTTTAGACATCTGGAAATGATTTGGCAGCACGCTTCCTCTCCATCAATCGACTTCCACAAGCCAAGGGTGTGGGAGGAGGAGGACGAGGAGAAAGCCGAAGAGGGCATACAATCAACCCGCATCAGCAGGATGCGCGGTGAGGATGCAGGGGCCTTGGAGGGCGGTCAGGCCAGCGTTTTCGGAACGAGGCTGGCCAGCGAAAGCTACCAAGCATGGGCCGAAGGGACAAGGATGCGGGGGCAGCCTTGGGTCATGATGTTCCGGCTTGCTCTAGCCTTGACCACGAGAAAGAACTTCGGGCACCAAAGGAATGCCGAACCTCGAGGGCTTTCACGTGTCGGGCCCAGGGAGACACGCGCCCGACACTGTGTCGACACTCTTTCGACACTCTTGCGACACTTTTCCGGGTGCTCGAAATTATTTCTGGGATGTTGTCCTTGCGTAGGATGGGAACAACAGAAGCCTTGGGAAGTCCCTCATCCTTACGATGCGGGTTGCATGGAAGGGGAAGGCATGATCAGTCAGCACCGAATCGGGCAATCGCACCGGATCGACATGTGCATTGGATCGGGCCGCATCGGCACGGAGACGGAATCGAATCGAATCGGCGGCGCCAGAATGCACCACGACGCCACACAAGCAGCGGGCCGCCTCAGCTCGCCCGAACACCGGAGTCGAGTCGGATCGGGCCGCCCGGGAGCCGCCAGCGAATCCCATCGATCGGATCGACGTGAGCCCTGCAGGGACGCGCGCCGATACTGTTCGGGCGCGTGCGGGGAGCGCCCTCTGTGGAAGCCCGGCGCAGGTGAATCTGTGTGTTAGGTCTACAGTCATCGGCCTGACCTAAGGGACGATAAATAAGGAACGAAGCCCCTTTTTATCCCAAGGAATAACGCATAAGGAACGATAAATAAAAGATAACGCATAAGGAACTGTAAATGACGCATGTAAAACCTAAGGAACGACCGAGCCCCTTTTGAAAAGTAAGTGTTCCTCATTCAAGCCGCTCACTGTATCGCTGGCCGGGCGTCGTCGCAGGGCCGCGCGGGCTCAGCCCCATGGCGTTGTCCGCCGGGGGGGGGAGAAGGCAAGGCTGCGAGGCTGGAACTTACGCGCATATCCGCCGCTGGGGGGGCTGGTATCCCTCCCCAGAGCCCCGGGGGTAGCAGTGGATAAGTACCCCTTGCTCGGCAGACGTGGGTAGAGGCCTGAAGAACGGAGCCTCTGAAAGTAGATTGGGCTTCCGCCTGCACCCTCCTTCGCGTGTTGCTGGAAGTGCCCCTGGCCCAGTGTGCCCCCAGGATTTCCAGGGTGGTCTCCACGGCCTCCAGAGCACCCCTCATGAAGCTCAGAGGGCTCCCGGGGCTCCAGACTTGAATGACAAGTTGGGGGCACCTTGGGCCAGGTGCGCCTCGCCCCCGATCCTTGCGGAGCGTCGCGACCCTGGAGAGCCCCAGGCCCCATCTCTCTGCGTCCTTCTTCGAGCAAGATAGATCTTTGTAAGGGTCCCGGGGGGGCCCGCCGCCTGCGAGAGCGCCTAGCGCGGCAGACATGGCAGCACCTGAATCTGAGGGTCTTCCCTCTCTCCTCCATCCCATCCCCTCCTCCTTCTCCCCCTCCTCCTTCTCCTCCCAGCGGGAGAAAGGAGATCGGGGGCGCCTCCTCCTCCTCCTCCTTCCCTCCTCCATCCTCCATCCCATCCCCTCCTCCTTCTCCCCCTCCTCCATCTCCCCCTCCCATCGAAAGAAAAGGGAACGGGGCGTCTCCCCCTCCTCCTCCTCCTCCTCCTCCTCCTCCTCCTCCTCCTCCTCCTCCTCCTCCTCCTCCTCCTCCTCTTTCTCTTCCTTCTCCTCCTCCTCCTCCTCAATTCCTTTTCCTTATAGATAACTCACTCCTCCCTGTCACACCCCAAGGGTCAGTCGAAAGGGCGGGCCAGGCGTTTCGCCTGAGACCTCCTCGCCACTTATGATCCTGATGCATCCACATGGACTGCAGCATCACAGGTGGAGGGCGAATGGTTTTCTAAATGTGACTCTCGCCTGTGCAACGCGCACATTCGTGTTAAAGCGCTAAGCATGAGCTTCACATATTGAGGACGGATGGTTTTAAAATGTAAATCTCGCCTCAGCGCCGCGCAGTTGCGTCATTTTTGGTTTGCAAGGAGTTCACGGATTGAGGGCGGGTTGTTTCCAACATGTCGCTCCTGCCTTCGTGCCGCGCACATTCGTTTTAAACATCTGCAAGACCTTCACAGGTTGAGGGCGGGTTGTTTTCAAAATGTGACTCTCGCCTTTGCGCCGCGCGCATTCGTTTTGATAATTAATTTGTGCAAGCTTCACAGACTGAGGACGGTTCGTTCTCAACATGTGGCTCTCGCCTTGGCGCCGAGCACATTCGTCTCAAACATTTTTGCAGGAGTTTCACGGATTGACGGCGGATGGTGTCCCAAATATGGCTCTCGCCTTGGCGCCGCGCACATTCAATCTGAACATGTGCAACAGTTTCACTGGTTGTCATGGTAACGTACCAGAAAAAGTGGAACGATTCAGGACCGTCAAGGCGCAACAGCTACGTTGATTCGCGGTGTTCGAATCCCCGAAAATGTGTACAGTCAGGTTACTCGTGGCGTTGAAATCAGGTTGTCCCCCGCCGGGGCAATTCCCCCTGTGGAAATGACCTCTTATATGGGCCTGTGAGAAGGGGTCTCGGAGGGAGCGTGTATGCCAAGACCGTTGCTGAATATTGCGGTTGCGCTGGTCCTCCTCCTCCTCCTCCTCCTCCTCCTCCTCCTGCTCCTCCTCCTCCTCTGGCCTCCCTCCCTCACACGCTCCCTCCCTCCCTCGCTCCTCCCTCCTACCCGTTCCCTCATCCCACCTCCCTCCTCCCTCCTCCCCCTCCCTTCCTCCTCCTCCTCCTCCTTCCTCCTCCTTCCTCCCTCCCCTCCACCTTCCTCCTCCTCCACCCTCCTCCTCCTCCTCCTCCTCCTCCTCCTCCTCCTCATCCTCATCCCATCCTCATCCTCATCCTCATCATCCTCATCCTCACCCTCATCCTCATCCTCATCCTCATCCTCGTCCTCATCCTCATCCTCATCCTCACCTCATCCTCATCCTCATCCTCATCATCATCATCATCATCATCATCATCATCATCATCATCATCATCATCATCATCATCATCATCATCATCCCTCCCCCTCCTCCCTCCTCCCTCCTCCCTCCTCTTCTCTCCTCCCTCTCCCTCTTCCCTCCTCCCTCCTTCCTCCGCCTTCCTCCCTCCTCCCTCCTGCCTCCTCCTTTCCTCCTCCTTTCTCCTCCTTCCTCCCTCCTTCCACCTTCTCCTCCTCCTCCTCCTCCTCC